CAGGTATCTCCACCCCTGGAGCCCCGCCCACGAGGTGGTGGGGAGGCCTGCTTTTTCTTCCTTTGTTGCAGAAGCCCAAGAGGGCCTGGCAGTGGGCCCTAAGCGATCTGAAATGTAGGATATTGGGGCATACATGGGAAACCCAGCCCCTGCTCTCCCGCTGCCACAGGCTGACCCCTCTCCGTTTGGCAAGCACATTTGCTCAGTTGTGGCGTAACCCCCCACCCCCACGCCACACCCATACACACACACACACACACACACACACACGGAGCTCTGAGAGACCCGCTCAGTTATCATCCACTAAGCAAATTCATTAACTTTAGTTCTGTGGTAAAACCAGGCAGATACCAGAGAGTGGGGGCTCTGCCGTCCATTCTGTAGCTCCCCAACTGCTGTGTGTGGAACACGGGTGCACTTAAGCCTGCCACACGGGCCTGCAATCTCTTTTTAAAATGTTTAGACTATTCCCAGGCTTCTCTCTTGGGCACAGAAAGGAAGGTGACTCCCGTCTGAACTGGCCACAGCAAGGACAGGGTTGGAAACCAGAGCAGGAACTCTGACTCCCGAAAGGAAGGAGGCCTCCCACACGAAGACAGTGGGCGACACACAGACAGGAGAGATCTGCCGGCCCAGCGCACTGCAGTCCCGCCGGCCTCCTGGCCGCAGCGCGCCCGAGCCCCACTGGCGCAGGGCAGCCAGGAGCGGCAGGCCGAGGCAGAGGCCAGAGACCAGGTGCAGTCCGGGTAACAGTGGCGCAGAGCCAGAGCTCAAAGTGCCTGTGGGCAGCGCTAAGTAGTCCTGGAAGAATAAAAGGTGGCCTGGAGCCGGCCAGGAGGCCCTGAGTCCAGCCCATGAGGGTGCTCTGTCCCCCCAGGCAGAGCGTGAAGAAGAGGCGACCTGCAGACAGACCCAGGAGCAAAGGACAAAGCCCGAGGGCAAACGGGAAGGGAGGAAGGGCAGAAGCCAAAGCCTCCAGCAACACAAAGACACACGTGGAAATCCCCTGAAGCCCCGGCCGCCATGAGAATTCGGTCTTCCAGCAACCTGCGGCATGGGAAACAGACCCCGGGCATCACCCAGGGAGGGCGGGCTGCCAGGGCAGTGTGCACACCAGCGCTGCACGCCACCTGGTGCTTCGCCAGCTGGCTCCGGCGCTTGTGAAGCTGAAATTTCCATTCACAGAGGCGTGAGGAACTCACGGCCCCACACGCCTATTCCTACGGACCTGCTCCTCTGCGCTGCACTCAGGGACACGGCTGGGGACGCTCCTCACGGCGCGGGACCTGCAGTCAGGGGCCGGTTACCACGCAGGTCTCTGGGGGCTGGGCCCCAGGAGGCAGCTTCCCCAGCGTCACCAGCTTTTCGAGTAGTTAGCCTTTCGGGGGCCAAGGCAGCCACCAAAACCCTGAGAGACCACCTCTCCTCCCCTATCCTCCAGCCATCACTAGACCACCATTGCTCATCTGGGTGAGGTCGAATGTGGGGTGAAACTCAGAAGGCACCGCCTTGAGGGCCGTGGGTCTGTGTGAGCCTGGGGGATTCATGCCCATGTGTGACCCCAGGAGACGCCTTCTCTTCTTGTGGGGACTCTCGGGTCCCTGCTGTAGCGATGGGGTCTCATTCACCCGCCACTTCTTCCTTCCTCC